CCTGCACCCCAGCCTGTGAGTCAGGTGGTGAATCCAGCACCCCAACTCCAAAGGACAACTGCTACAGCTTGCCTCCTGCCCAAGTCTCAAATATCACAGGGTGGAGAAAAGTATTGCCAATGGCTGTGACACTACTGCCTATGTTTGTTGGACCTCAGTAGCAGTGAGAGAGAGAGAGAGACAGAGACAGACATTCGTTTAATGAGTGTGTGCGCACTTGAGCTTGCAAAATCAATAGACAACCCTGAATTAGTAATTTCACCTTTACATGTTAAAAAAATATTGAAAATCGGGGAGCACTGACATCTCGGCACTTCTACTCCATCGTTCCTAAGGCCCTTAATTACCGTGACTTGTTCGGAGCTTGGGCAGCTTCCCCCAGATGCTCTTTTCTCTGTTGCATTCCCTCTCTTCTGTCTGTTATCGTGGCTGTCCCCAGGTTTCACCTACCTGCATAGAAGTGGTAGAAAGGCCACCATACCGCACTGTTGGGAATATAGGTGAGCAGTGAGGCCACATATCCCCTGTAGAAGCCTCTTAGTCCATCAGCCTTGAAAATCTGCGTGATGATATCCTTGGTCTGGCCAAAGACCACATTACGTTTGCAGTCTTGGTACTGCACTCTGAACCTGCCCATGGTCTCACCGTCACGCTGCATCATGAGGTGCTGGGAGACGACGTCTATTGGCACCGTGATGCTCTGGGCCACCAGGGAGGCCGAGCCGCCAGCCACCAGTGACTTGACGACGTTGCTGTTGTTGTACTTGGACACGTACTTGCGGGTGAGCTCGTAGGTGGTCACGTAGCACTGGCCTGAAATCAGGGTGAAGGTGTTGACCAAGAAGCCCCGGTATAGTCCAGCTGCCCCTTCTGACCGCAGTATCTTCACAAAGGCATCAAAGGTCCCATTGTAGAGACTCTTGCCTTTCTGGACTTGCAAACGCGTTCGGATGAGCGTGAAGGGGTAAACGCTCACCCGGATCATCATAGTCATGCAGACGCCAAACACATAGAACTTCTTCTTGTCCAGATGCTCCCACTCAATGATCGGGATGTTGCGTTTGTCCTCCATAATTCCCTGGAATGCAGGGGAAGTAAAATGAGTGATCATCAGTGCGATTCTTTGGAAGGTGAAGGGGAGTACGGGACTTATAGAATCATAGAATAATAGGACTGGAAGGGACCTCGAGAGGTCATCGAGTCCAGCCGCCCGCCCTCAAGGCAGGACCAAGCTCCGTCTACACCATCCCTGACAGATGTCTATCTAACCTGTTCTTAAATATCTCCAGAGAGGGAGATTCCACAACCTCCCTTGGCAATTTATTCCAATATATAGACTTTTTGGAGTAAGTCTTCCTTCTCCATTGGGCTCAGCCCTGCAGTAACCTTCCTGCAAGCCAAGGGCTGGACTGAGCCCATTTATAAGCCAGTCATTATTATAAAGAATGATCTCAGTGGGACATGAGTGAAACAGGTGGCTTAGCCTCTCAGACACTCAGGGTAAGTTTGAAGATCTTGCCCTGATTTGGGTTCATCTGTAAGGAGCAAAATCTTGATTTCTCATTGACTGTTAACAGCCTATGAGGTATCTTAACAGTCAATGTGAAGGCAAGATTTTGCTATTACAGATGAACACAAATTATCAGAAGGTGGTTATGGGAACTTTGTGCATAAGGACACACCTGGCTTATTCAAGCTTATGCAGAGATGGTCGCTCAACAGGATTTGCCACAGGTGTTGCTGAGTCTGCCCATAGTTATCCTTCCCCAGTTAATAGGAATGTATTTCCTTCAGCTGCCATTTTCTGAGATTAACTACTCCAGCATACCACCAGCAGAAAGTGAATCAGCTGCCCGCATCATGCTAGGTCTTCAGTACAGTGGATAAAAATGTATTTTAAAATGTTTTGATTTAAATTAAATACAGATTTTTTAAAATAAATCTATTCCAAATTAAATGTGCTATAATGACAACCTAGAGTCAAGCCTAAATTCATTGCCATCTATTAAAATAATACATGAAATAGAAAAAAAGCTAAGTGGAGCATATTTGCTGACAAGTTTTAAAGAAAATTAAGCCATCAAACTGCTGCAAGTCACTGGCTAAATACCTGGAACCAGAGCATGAAGCGCCAAACCAGTTTTTAACATATTTAGAAGAAGCAGAGAAGATAATTTCTTTACTTCAATTTATTCAACCAATCTGGAGTTGAACAAGCAGCATTTGTTCTCTTCCATTCTACAGATAAAAACTAGGTGCGAGTGGACAAGATCTACTAGTTCTAAAACCTTGTAGGACACTGACCATAAATGATCAGTTCAATGCACCAACTACAGCTGATAGTTCCTTTCTTTAATAACTCAGGGCAAGTCTACACTACAAAACTAACTTAGGCCGACATACAACCACTTCAGTAATTACTGTGGTTTTTCGTGTACACAGTATATCCCTCTCTTAGCAGTGGTTTGTCCTCATTAGGACCACTTCCATTGATTTAACTGACAATATGGAGCAACGTACTAGCCACACCACTGCACCTGTCAGGCTCACATGGGGCAAAGGGACTCTGGCCTGCCAGTCCCACACTTAACACCTGTTGCTGTCTTTGACAGCTCAAACTGTCACTCCCCATGTGAGAAAGCAATGCAGTGTTTACACAGACACTACATCACCTTAATTACATCAGCCTAAATGCTGCACCTCTCGTGGAGGTGGAGTTATTAGGTTGTGTAGTGGGTGTTATATCAGTAGGTGCAATATTGTAGTGTAGACGCGCCCTTACAGAGCTAGACCAACATATGCTGCCTTATGTCAGCCTAACCCTGTAGTGTATACCAGGCCTCAGTGTGGCAGCGTGTCAGGTACCCCCCAATCCTGCACCCCCGTCCACAGCAAGATGAGACTCCCAGCCAGTAGAATAGAGAGGGTTTATTGCTTCTCCAGGATACAGCACAGCATAGACGAGATGTGGTTACAGGAGTCAGGGCCAGGCAGCCTTAGAACCCTTGGGGTAGGGGTCCACAAGCCCCTAAACCCTCAGTACTCAGCTTAATCTCTTCTCTTCATGTTTTCCTAGCCAAGACTGCCCAGCTCCCAGGCCCTGCCCCCCAGCCAGGTGGCCGTCTCCACCTCTCTTCCTTTGTCTCTCCCCCTGGGAAGAGCCTTGTTATCTACTCAGGCTGGGACTAGGTGTCTGAGACAATACATGTGTGTGTGAGTCAGTGGGAATCACACATCACAGCGTAGGGGAACTCGGGGTTACAGAGCAGACAGCACTCCCACTATGTCACACTTAATTTCAAAAGGCAAGAAATGTTTTAATAACCTTTTATCCCTTATGTATCCAGTGCATTTAGGGTAGTTTAATTTAATAAAAAAAGTAAAGTGTTTTTGTACATTTTAGTTGAATTTGAATTTCCAAATGGAGCTCATTTCATATCACAAGTAAAAAATGCAGCACTCACCATTTTCTAGAGTAATACAAATGTAAAAAATTAAGAGTCTCAACAAGAGTGTGTTAAGCCATATAACTGTTTAAATAAATGCACATAGGGTATGGTGCATCCTGCTGATTAGCAAAAAGAGCCAGCTATCGTGCAAAGGCTATGTTTTGCTGCAGTCAATATATTTAAATGATTACCAACCAATGAAAATCAACAATTGGGAAAATAAGTCAAATGCACAAATGGAAAACTTGACTTAAATCAAGGTTTCCTACTTGTTCATTTAAATCATGATTAAACCCCATCCTGCTCTCCAGAATAAGGGAGAACGCATCACTATCTGGATTTTATTTTCCTATGTAGTGGCATGGGTATGATCCAATTGATGGGGCACTGGCTGGGAAAACCCCAGATTCTATTCCAGCTCCGTTATGATATTCTGAAATCTGAGGTATGTCACAGCATCCTCATGTGCCTAAGTTTCCCCCTGTAAAATAACACTTACTGACCTTTGTGAGATGCTTTGAGATCTGTCACTGAAAAAGACTAAACATTAAATATTACCTCTTATTGAACATGCAGAGCAGGAAAATTCTTTGGCAACCAGGGCAACTTCTCTTCTGTCATTCTGAGTTCACTGGTGTTACTGGCTTTCACGATCCAACCCTTCAGGCCCTAGGCTGCCTACAAAGTAAAGGGTGATATGTTCTGAAATCTCTAAACAAGATCCTAGAATCACTGCATGAACAACAACTGTGTTTTTCCATGCACTCTCTTTGTCCCCCTCCTCCTCACCAATGGTTGTGCCCAGCTGACTGGAAATGCAAGTCAAGAGGTAAAGGTAAGAAAAAGGATTCAAAGGAGGAGGAAGAGAGGACAGATGTAAACAAGCACAGAATTATTCAGAGCCTCTAAGGTGAATACTGAGCACCTGAAAAGAAAGTTAGCAAAGATCATGCTTCAAGAAGCCCCCAGTCAAGAAGTTGCAGACGAAGGTGAGCAAAAACAAAAGGAAAAACTTTAAAGACTAACAAGATGGTTTAATAGGTGATGAGCTTTCGTGGGCCAGACCACTTCCTCAGATCATATTCTGGAAGAGAATTGGCATGACCATATATACCAGAGGAATACAATGAAAAAAGTGAACACATTATTCCTTTTGTTTTAGCAAGATCAGACTAACACAGCTACCTCTCTCTTACTATTCAAGGTGAGCAAAGTTCACTTTCGATACTAGATAATCTTCTCTAGTGCAATAATCCTGAAACACCTGTGATGCCTCCAGGTACTTGCAGGATCTGGGAGACAAGAGACTGCACTGAGTTTCAGTACAACACAATGACTCACCGGGGCTACATGGACATTCATGACAGACTACCATGCTCTCCAGCAGCAGGACACAGTAAGAGGCTACTCACAATTCAATGTTGCCCCTTCAAGTCAGCCAACCCTATTTAACCTAAGTCTCCTCACCCAACCCTCAGGGCCAGATTAACTCTTCTGGGGGCCTTGGGCTATTAGATTTTGTGGGGCCCCCTACGTTTGGCTGGGGCCAAAACGAGGAGTCCAGTGAGCAGGAGGGGGGCAGCAGGTTGAGGCAAGAGGATGGGTGTGGGAGGGGGTGAAGGCTCTGACTAGGTTGAGCTGGGGATGAGGAGTTGGGATGCAGGAGGGGGCTCTAGGCTTGGGCCAAGCAGTTTAGAATGTGGAAGTGAGCTCAGGATAGGAGGGTGGGGTCCCACCTCTACAGACCAGTGACCCTGAACTGATCTGGGTGTTCCAAAAGCTCACAATCTGTACAAGAGATTTGAAGAGTAGCCAATAGGCCCCCCAGATTTTGCACTAGGAAGACTGTTTACTTGAAACGGAGGTTCCTGCTGGTTCCCTTATTTAGTTTCAGTCCATGCAATTCCTGCAAACTGAAAACCCCCTTTAAAATCAGCATTGAAGAAGCAGAAAGATATAGCACCGAAGAACAGGCAGCAGCCCTCAGTGAAGAGAGGAACAGAGCAGATCCCCTGTTCCCTGAACAACTCCCATCTTCTACCACTATCACCTCTGCTTTAACCACTCAAGCTGAGCCAACAAATGTTACCAAGAAAGCTTTCTTGTACTGGTCAAATATACACTGTGCATCCCTCCCCCAGCAAAGATTGCCCCAACCTACCATAGACTTTGCAAATCTCAGTCTGGAAACTCCCACCAGACAGTGCATGTCACTAAACATTACCCCCCACTCTTCAAAAAAAAGCCAAAATAAAAGTTTTAATATCCAACTGGAGCCAGATTATTGTTAAACCGAACATTCCTCATTTCAGATCTAACACTCCTTCCTGGGTTTGGTGAAGAAAAGTTACCTATCAGAGGACGACATCCTGATTATGTAATATAAAGCGCAGAGCCATTCAGCTTTAGAAACAACTTATACAACTTGCTTCAAAGGGCTTGTCTACACTTGAAAGTTATTCCATATATAATTAGGTTGAATTTAAAAAGCAACAGCTCCTTATGTGGACACACTTATTATAGTAGAGTTCCTTTTCCCAGTTTTGTTTTGTCTTTGAAAATAATAGCTATTCTGGTCAATTTCCCTGTGTAGACAGGGCCTCTAGCACACATCAAGACAGAAGTGATAATTCCAGGGACCGGATGTTTGCAACCAACCAGGGAAACCCAAAGAAGGCCAGATGGAATGTTGGTGTAATTGACAGTAAATAGTTATGACAAAGGGCCTGATTCTCATGTTCACTAAGGCTTCTTCACACAACTCCAGCAGTGAAAGGGTGTCTTAAAGTGGATGTAACTGTAATTCATACTTACTTTAAAGCCGTTTTATACTGTCAGAGTGATAAAAAGAGATTTTAACATAAATAAAAATAAGGCCCCAAATGTCAGGCTCCATCAACAAAGGTCGAGTAATCAGGACTCTGATAAATAAATTGCTTTATCAAGGGAATTTCTAATTGATAATTCCCTTGCAAGGAAATAGAGGATATTAAGGTGATTATATTCCTTCAAAAGTCCTTTAAATGACTTTTTAGAAAACACATTTGCTCCAAACAAAATGTTTACAGAATGTCAGCATTATTATAGCTTGTCACAACTTCTACTGAGGCTCAGACTGGAGAATGAGGTTGAAAATATCAAATAGTCTTTGCAAACTAGTTCTGGAGGAATTCAGTATTTGTTGCATATGGAGCCACAGTAAAATTACAAATTCCCCCAGGATTGGCAAACCAACAATCCTAATTTAAAAAAGTATCCTATTTTTCCTGGTACAAAAATAAAATGCTCACTGCTACTGCCAACCAAGAGACAAATGGAATGTTAAGAAAGCCAAGAGTTCATCCATACATAAAAATTGCACCACTTCAACTATACTGGTATAGCTAAAGCAGTACAACCCTCTGTAGTGTGGAGAAGGGGAATAAACTAAATCAGTATATGGCACCTTCCTACCACAATAACTGCCCACACAGTAGAGTTTATAACTTTGGAACTTTCAAACGTAGTCCAAATCTTCAACCCAGACTGCTCGGCAGCTCAGACAGGCATTTAGAAGTAACAGGTAAAAAAAATCATGTTGACTTTGTGTTATTAGTAGCACCGTTGACTATTAAATCCATGCAGCTAGGTGAGATCTAGTTTACATCTCAGAATACGCTCATGGTGGATAAAGACACACTGATCACTTTCACTTTTGGATCTCATTAGTTTCATTTGTTTGGCTCTGAAGCTGCGGCAGGGACCGCAAGGTTTGGATTGGTAGAGCTTTGTGCTGATACAAAATTTGTATCCGCACCTGCAAAAATGAGCTGCGGATATCTGTACTGACATCCATGGATGTGGATACCTGTGGATATAAAGCAGATACCCACAAATTTGCAGGGTTCTACATGCAAAATTTGTATCCGCATCCATATCTATAAAAATGAGCAGAGGATATCTGCATCCACGGATGCAAATAACCATGGCTATAAAGCAGATATCCACAGATTTGCAGGGCTCTACACCCTGTAATGCCTTCCCTCCACCCATAGGGAACTGTCCTCACTGGAGTTTTGCAAATTCAAGGAAATGTTAGCATTGGTTTTAGGTTCTATATTGTGTTGATTTTATTATTGAGGCCATCAGCTCCTTGCGGGAGAGATTGTACTTTCCTGTGCGTCTTGTTAATAACCACCTTCCTTTGAAACCTAAATCTAACAGACACAATGTAGCTTTAATCCCATAGTTTGCAAGTGATGGAAGCAGTGGATTAATCTCTAAAGGGGAGGGGAGCAGGGTTCCCTATAAACTGGGCTCTTGTGTGGCCACTCAGGAGAAATTCAAATGCCACCCAACTGATTAGCAGAATGCCCATAGCTGGGTTGTGTGTGTCTGTTGGTAGTGCACATTCACACATGCCTAGGTGCACATGGATGGAAAAGATTAGAGGGAACATCCCAGGGAAGCTGAGAGGGGAGAGGAGTGCGTGGAATGTTTTGATTAAATATACTGGGTAAATTCCTTGCCCCCGTGAAATCAATGGCAGTTTTGCCTTTGACTTCAGTGAGGCCAGGATTCCTCTTCTTATGCTTCCAGAATTTAAACCTAAGGCCTTGGTCAAAGCGATGATCTCATTGGACTTGTTTTGGCCATGAGGCATTCCTTTCCAACTTTTTAAACATCACCCTCAGCAAAAGAAAACAAAGATTTTAAAAACCTGCTAAATTCCAAATCAGCCAACTCATGCCTAAAACCCACAAGTTAAAAACCCAACAACTCTCAATCACTTCTCCCCCTCCAAACAGCATGTAGCTAATATGACATTTCTAGATCACACCCTATTATGCTTGTACCTTCTGTACCCTTCTTCTACCCTTTGTTTTGCCTATTTAGATTGTAAGCTCTTGGGAGCAGGGACTGTCGACTGTACATATTTTACAGTGCCTCGTACAAAGAGGCCCATTCCTCGGATGGCCCCTAGCCACTACCATAATTAATGGCTCCCCAACCTCAGAGGTAAGGAGTCTGTTAGCTTGCTCTCTGCTATCTCAAGAGTCCATGAAACGTGGGAAGCCAGAAGTCCAAAACTACCTATAAGTCTATATTAATATGCAGAATTGAGTGACTTGTCACTGAGAACAGAAGGAAACTAATTTCTTGATATTTTGCCTGTTGGTTAAGGAAAATGATTAGGAAGGAGGACTGCTAGATTCCAGTTGCAGGCTCTGCCACTGCCTGCGTGTGTGATTATTGGGCTATTCTTACTCCCCTTTCTATGCCTCAGTATCCCACAGCTCTAAAATGGGGGCATTACCTATCTATCAACAGAGTGTGTGAAGAATTAAAGTGCTATGAAATCTTCAGCTGAAAAATGAAGAAGTGCAGAGTATTACTCAGAGGGAAACCTAAACCAAGTCCACAATTTCCTTAGAGCCCCAAAGGACATCTTCTAATAGTCCCAGTCCTTCAGAAAATTCATTCTGAACTGAAGGCCTGGATGCAGCTGCAGCAAAATTTGTGCTTAACAAGGCTTTGGTAGCCCATGTCAAAGGAGGCCAAGCAATGACTGGAACCAGTGCTCAACCTAGTCTCAAACACAACTGATCAGCACAATTTGTACCTCTTTAATGCCAATCTATGTTATACATTTTTTTGCTGCAACTGTGTTTAAATGTGATTCTTTGGCCAATGAAGACAGGCCCTCTATTGCTCCAAACCAGGAAAGATCTTCCAGTCAGCATACTAATGCCTTAGCCTGA